ATCAGATCACCGAAGATGTTGCACTTGTGTGTCCTCGATTTAATACACCATAAATTAACTCCCACACACCCACCCAAGTGTGTTTTTGCCTGCAGTCGGGGACTCTCTGTTGTCCCTCTTTTGTTTGTACTTTTTAGGAAGACCTCCCATACGTTTTATACACGAATCAAAACTGGGGACCTCGTGGGAATTGGGGACCCTGTTGCCCTCTGTTGTTCAACGTCCCCTATTGAATGCAGAAACAAACTCACACACACTGTGGTAATCCCTTACCAAACCAATAATTCCTTGCCACTTCTGATTGATTTTGTCACTTTCAGTTCTTGTTTTACCAAAAACGTTTGTTTGTCTTGCCATTTTTTACACCAGAGTGTCCTCTATTGTTGCTTCTTGATCTAAAAATTCGGACCCGAGACAAAAACATACTTTACAGCTTTAAGGTACTGATTTTGATATCTGGAACAGCTACCAGTAAATACTAAAGACTACTGCATATTGAAATCTGCAAATGTAATTTAGCAAGGAGCTATCCTTGGGATCATTGAAAAATTATCAATTGTCAATTACATATCTACAGGCAGCACACAGATCTTCTTGCTTCTGGAAAGACAGAAGAAGCCAAACAAGAAGAATTACTGCAGGATTTGACCACTGGACAAGAAAAACTGGACAAGATTAACAGCAAGAGGGTGCAAGTCACTAACCAATTCCAGTCTTTAAAGCAGCAGGTGAAAGGTCAGTTAAACTTCCAATGCCTTCATTTAATTTTGACTCTGATTTATAATGTATTTGTTTGACTGGACATGCCATTGCCAATATTTTTCTACTTAATCTTTGCACATTAGTAATTTTGAAACAGCCTGTTTAGCTCAGGAAAGGCAGACTGTTTTTGAGTTAGTGTACATGTTGATTAGGCAAAGATTTTCTCTTAGTTAATTGCCTTATACTGATTTTACCCAAGATGCAGTTTTACCATTCCTGCAACGTATTTTGATGGTTTCAAAGAGACCTGTTGATGGAAAATTAGGCCAAAAAAATAATAAGTCGGTCTCTGGTCAGCGCGCGCGTCTATTTTAATCATGTGCGTCAATCTTTTTTTTTTCCAAAATGTTCCGCGGTAGCTCCAACAGCCTCTATTGCCGCACCTCCTCAATTTTTTTTACCAAAGAGCACAAGGAATGGGAAATTGCACCAAGGCAAATGATCGAGAGCACCAAGGCAAATTATGGAGGACACCAATGTACATGAGGACACCAAATAGCAAAATAGTACCCCACCTTGTCTGCACAATCCAAGCTTGAAGAAAAAAAAAAAAGCCGCGTCCCCGCGTCAATTCCGGAACTTTGGTCTGACCAGAGACCGAATATTTTTTTTTTTTGGCCTTATAAAGTTGTCAGTGTTGTAGTACTCGTACTCGGTACTCGTGTACTTTTTTTGGAGTACTTGTACTCGTACTCGAATGTCAGAGCACTCGTACTCGAGCAGCAAAGTACTCGTACTCGCACATGTCAAGATTGTACTCGATCATCAAAGTACTCGTACTCGAATAACAGTACTCGATAAAAAAGTATGCGTACCACAGCCTTATTTTATCGATACTTTCCGCTTCAAATGGTCGATTGCGGAGAAATCGACATTTTCTCTACTCTACGCACGTCCGGACAAACACAATTAGCAGCTAGCTGTGACTGGGTCTGGTTATAGGACACTGGGCCTGGGCCAATTACGCACAATGACCCTTTTGCCGTATGTGGGCACAATGGCCGATCATTGAACACACTGTACGCCGAGGTATTCCTCAAAATGGGCGTACGATTAACTTGGGTGATTGGAGCAAAGCCATTTTCTGGGGGCTGTATCTTAAGTCCGATGCCTCATAGGTCCAACGCCCAGGTCCAACGCCTCATAAGTCTGAAAATTCGTACTTATGAGGCGTCAGACTTATTAGGCATAAATTCCGCCTCATAGATCCAACGCCTCATAAGTCCGATGCCTCATAAGTCCGACATCATAAATCTGACAATGAGCAAACTCTGTTTCGGAGCTATGAGGCTTGGGACTTAGGCGGCGTCGGACGTATGAGGTGGAACAAATAAATGTTATGCCTCATAAGTCCAATGCCTCATGAGGCGTCGGACCTATGAGGCATCGGACTTATGAGCGGACCCTGTTTTCTGAACCCTGGTTTTCACGATCATTACAATTATAACGTCCACGCCTTCTTAAAAATACTCCTTTTCTTTCCAGTTTGCTCATATTAATATGAAATGTGATACTGCATATTGGCAGGCCAGATTTTAACATGTTTTCATAACTCTCGGCGCAACGAATTGATGCTGTTTTTACCCCAGACACGGCATACAAAACCAAACGCTAACGTAATGCACATGCAGGCACCAGACTATTCCTCATTTGCATACGTGTTCAAAAATCTTGCACATGCAAGTGATCAAATACCCAGGGTGAGAGAGCAGGTAGTGGTGGGCGCGTATTGCTCGACACCCTGGAAAAGAAGTTGGGTCCAGCCCCAGGTTTGAAAAACTGCCCCTAGTCTGGTTATGGCAGCAGGTCCACAGCCGCCTAGCCTTAAACAGGGGCTTGGGAATGGGAAGCAGACTAAATGCATAGACACAAAGAAAACGCGAATTTGCCAGGGTTTTTGGCTTGCATGTTTCATGTGTACGTGTACTGTTGACGTTCGCTTACGCTTGCCTGTGTGATTGATTTCGTCTGAAAGGACACCTTGGCTCAGAATGTTTGCTTGCAAAGGAGGGTTGAAGGAATTAAAAAGATTTTTGTAAGGCCCCCAAAAAAGTCTCCGGCTTCTGGTATGCGCGCGCGTCGCTGTAGCCATGCGCGTCGGCAAAATTTAAAAGTTTTTTTTTTTTGTAAGATGATGTCTCAAAACTGCCAAACTCACTGGTTTGACTGGAATCCTGCTGCTGCACAATTTTAACGTGTTTTTTTGATGGGGTTACGATCGAGTATAAGCTTTGTGTGGTCACTCTGGGCTCCCATACATTTTGCACTAAATTTAGTCGGCCATCATTTGCAGTCATCAGCCGACATTTGAAGGAAAAAAAAAAGTCAAAAAAAAAGAAAAAAGCCGTGTCGCCGCACCACTTTTGGCGCAAACTCCATAACAGAAACCGGAGACTTTTTTGGGGGGCCTAAGAACAGCTTTTGTAAGAACACTAAGAACAGTGGTTGAAACTAAGTAGAAATAAGAAATATTTTCTCAGCCATTTTAATGCTTGTTGTACTTGTGTGTTTTTTAGTTAGTCTGAGGAATCCAAGGACCAACAAATGCATGAATAATAATAATAAAAATTAAATGCACAACACTGCTGTGTAATTTTATTAAATGACAGTTGACCTAAACTCTCATGTCTGTATCTCAGCTTTGTAGCATTCCCTTGGAAAATACATTTACATTGACTTGAGACTGCTGTTGTCGATTAACAACAAAAAAAGGACTTTCAAATAATAATTGAAAAAGCTTACAAAGACGAACCCTAGTTTGTGTCACAAGTGATTAACAGTACACATAATTTAGGCTTCAAGCACAATTTACCCGGTGCCGTATTTGGAAATTCAAGTACTTGTACTTGTACTCGTACTCGGAATACAAGTACTCGCACCCGGAAGTACTTGTCCTCGTACTCGTACTCGTACGTTCAAGTACTCATACTCAGAGACCTGTTCTTGTACTCGGAAGAACAAGTACTCATACTTGTACTCGCACTCAGCAACCTAGGTACGCGGCAGCACTCGGTACTCAGCAAAAAGTACTCCACTACAACACTGCAAATTGAACAGCACACTTGTCTTAACAATACAGCATGCATGCTCAGGACATACCCTCAAAGCAATAGTTAGGCAAGAAAACTTCTTTTTCAACTGGCCAATGGTCTGCTCTAGCTTTACTGTATGCTCTTTCACTTAGTTCTTGTTTCACCTGCAAAGCAAAGACAAATTGAAAACAATAAAACACTGAATACATGACCCTCTTGAATCTATGGAACAAACCTTGAAAAGATAATGCTAAGCTTAGTGAACATTGATTAGTGGCAGATGAAGGTTGACACCCCCCCCCCAGTTGCAGGCTAATATTATGCCAGTAAAATAGATCCCAAAATATATTTCACACTGCCGCAGAATGTAGGACAAAGTATCAACATTTTTTCCAGGGAATGCAATGGGAAACCCCCAGCAGGGCATGCATCTGGCAAACAGACTTGGCCCCTCCACTCAACGACCACCCCCACCCCCACCCCCCATAGTGAAAGTTAGAACTGCCCCTGGGGTGATTTGCATATTTGGACTGCAATTTCTTTTTACTTGTCATAGTGTCTTTCTGCATTTCATGTGGGTTCCAAGATTGGGGTCATCAGCCCCAATAAAACCGGCAGTGGCCAAATATCCAGCATTTTGTCAAGTGTCATTTTTTTTAAAAACAATTGGAAGTTTTATCAGGATTACTGTGTACGAGGACAGCCACTCCCGAGAACACAATCACAATACTAATGCTAATAAAATTGGAAAGTGGACGAAAAGAATGATCACTAGTTTTTAATGCCTTCGTAAGATCGTTTCATTCTAACAATGTTTTTGGTCTATCGACATGATGAATGACTCAACAAGGAAAGTACATTTCGCCTGCATTGTAACTTGAATAACTCCAGCTCCAACGCTCATCAGGAATTTGACATATAGAGCTGGAGCTAAAACTATGTTGTAGATACAAGATTCAAGGCGGCCCTAAAGAAAACAGGGACTCTCTGTATCTGTATCACAAAAATGGTTCTTTTTCTCTCTAGTTTCCCATCCCAGATTCCACTGAACATACCTCATTATGTTTAATAGAATCTGGGTTAGGATTAATAGAGGGAAAAAGACCCTTTTTTTTGTGATACAGATACAGAGAATCTTGTGTGTTTTTTTAGGGCCTCTTAGAATCTAGTGTCTACAACATAGTTTTAGCTCCAGCTCTATATGTCAAATTCCTGATGAGATTGGGGCTGGAGTTACTCAAGCCACCTGCATTGTAAGGTTGGCGTTTCAGTATTACAAAATAAGGCCAAGTGCCTGCGTTTGCCCTAGATTGTGTCCAAAATTTTAGGTAGGAGCTGTGGAAATTTGGGAACGTGGAGATTCGGAGCCGTAGGACAGTAAGCGGTATAGTATGCCTAAGTTGATACGTTTTCGGAAGGCTGTGGGCGCCACCATTAATTAACAAACGAATGGTGGCACTATATTGTTTAACGTGCTCCCGTTTGCCCTGAGCTAGCTAGCTTCGATCAAAGTCAACCATGACAGTACATACTAACTGGTTGTCATTAGTGTAATATTTTACACTGACTAAAATTATTACTAAACTTCTGTCAATACTTAACATTAATGTGACGTGCTGAATTTGTGGCTCACCCCTTCACAGAAGCTCAAAATACTTTTTCTCGTTTGGTAGATTACTTTTTCGGTGAAAGAATCCAGCAGATTTTTTTGCCTCGGATATAATTCTCTCTATTAACAATAAGAGCTCATCTGGCCTCTAAATCGGCAAGAAATCGTGAGCGTACCATTGCCGAAATGATATTACTCTGGTCCTAAAATTGAGTTATGATGACCCAATGAACCATCGTGAAATCGTTTTTGATCTATCGTATCTTAAGTTACGATGGGTAATCCATCGTAAATTTAGACATGATGAATCGTAGTGTTTCGTAAAATTGACCCTTACCTGGTCCCTAATGTAACGATATGGGTTTTGGGGTTTAAAATAATGAATAATTACGAGGAGCATGAATAATGTAATGTTATTTTTTGGCTGTTCCTTTTAGTGTACTTACCCCGCCAGTGTAATAGCCCTAGTTAACAAGTTTGGACATATGTTCGTGGACATTTAGGTCATTTGATAATTCTATCTTGAGAATGTTTATTTGGTAACAGTATGTCATCATCATTGTCAGTAATCAAAGTCAACACTCCTTCTGAGTCAATTTTATGCGCGACGAGGGGTTGTAGTCATTGCATTACGGTAAGAGCGCTACCGCTCACATGGTTTGTCCTCTTGCGAGCGAGCCGTGAAGGAAGCTTAGACCAAGCCAACTCTTGGCCAAAAGTCGCTCACTTTTCTCTCATTTTTGGATTCTAATTAAGTATTGAGTAGATAATGTAAGGGACATAGAAGAGGTTGGTTGATATGATTATTGTCAAACTGATTTATTTTTATAGTTTTTAGGGTGTTAGTTTTGTGTGAAAGTGTCAAAACTTTTCTAGAGTTGAATGACCGTTTTCGTACACATTCACTGCACAATGCATTATATAATGGCGACATTGAGTTCAGCATTGTGTACATTCAGTACGTAGTGTGCGTATGCACAGCACAACGTTGAATCTTGACCACACTGTGGAATTAGACCTACTCGCTTTATTTTGAAATGTTGTTTGTGTATGTCGCATTGTTTATTGGTGCACGGGACCATTTATGATAGAAGCTATTTCCTTAAATATGTTCCCCGTGTATGCTATTTGTATTATGTATTTTAATTTATAGCTGAGACTTTTTGCTGAGACTGTCAAGTCACAAGCTTTGAAGGTTGACATCTCAAGTGCATTAGTTACAGGCCTTCTCTATTTTATATCAGGGTAAGACTGTAATTCTCTTTGTATGCTTGATTAATTAGTCATCCTATCTAGTATTATTTTGGAGTGATCATGACACTGTCTACAAACAATTATTTATAGTTTATGCTGTATAATTAAAATACCTGTTGTTTATAATATTAATTTAATCCAATGACTTTGGAACAAGACTTACAAAAGTTTAAGATCAATTCATTTTATTCATGGTCAACAGGGTCTTCTTTTATGATCTTCTTAGTCATCGTCTTCATTCAGGGAACTTCATTTGGGTCTTTCCCTGTGTCTTATTCGGATCTTCATTGTCGTCTTATTGGAATCTTTATTCGGATCTTCATCTGGATTATTTTGTATAATTGGAGAAAGTGAATTAAATTAAAAGTTAATCAAGTGAATCAGTGTAAAAAAAACATCTGAGTGTTCCAGTTCAATTCTACTTGCTTTCCACCTTACTCTATCTTCATGAGGGTGAACCTGACCACCCTTATCATCGTTGGGGTTGCCACCTCGCGACACTAACAAGCATTGTAAAGCTGCCTTGATGGTAAGTTGTTATCAACAAGATGTATCAAATCCAGTCTTGGGAACTTCAGCAGTGCTCCCCAGAAAATTCAGAGCATACCTCATGTGTGCTGTATTCAATTTCATGCCATAGATGGCGGACTTTCAGGGACCAGCTGTCAAAATCAGTCTTGAATCAGGACTACACCAGTTATGAATAATTTGTATTACTTAGGCAAGGTTAATTATTAATTTTTTTGTTGGGGTGGAACTGATCTTCTGTCTGGACTGACTTGAAATATTTTATTGATTTGTTTTATCAGAGACTGGCAAGGACTTAAGAATGGCAAGAGACGATCTGCAGAAAGTTAAAAATGAAAGGCATCATATACAGCAGGTAGATTATTCACCTCACAGGGGTGATTCACTATTATTTTAACCTCATACATGAGCCATACATACTTCTTTTATTAGTCAATGCTCCAACACTAAGGAAGTATATAGTTTACATTTCTGACCTACTGATGCAAAATAAGGAATGTCCCCCAAAACCTTGATATTTGTTGTTTTGTATTCTTGAGTAGTCAAGGTATCTAAGATTCACACTATGTATTTTTGTTTGGAAAAAAAAAACCACAAGTGGAAAAACTGAAGAACGTTTATCCCTGCCGTTGGCGGCGCAATGCGTTTCTTCTTTTTTTTTTGCGAAGCCGTTTTTCTCGAAATGAGGTTGGGGAAGATTGATGGGACACTGATGTTCCTGCAGCATATCTGTGGAATAAATTCAGCTACAGAAATAAATTTGGTATCATTGGAAAGCCAATGATTTGCGTTTTAACATTATGTGCATCACTTGAAAAGTCAAAGGTGAGGGTTATTCCTCATTATGCTATGGCAGGTCACATTTTTTTTTTTTTTTGGGGGGGGGGAAGTATTTCAGGAACTAGGGCGAAGTTTGGTGTATACACCATGTGATCTGGTGACTGTCTAAAGTAAAGAGATACAATGCTTCTCCTTTTTTAGCAGAACAAATATCACACAAAACTAAACAAAGCTTTTTGCATACATTAAACAGGGTTCAACTTAAGCGGTAGCCTCAGCCTGCTAGCCAAATGTTAGTCAAAACAGCGGTGGGCTATTAAAACTTTCCCTTAAGTAGCCTGGCTGGCAATTAAAAATAAATAATGGGGAACGGCTAATATGTAAGGACAGGAAGAAATAAATTATGAAATTCAGAAAGCAAATCTGCATCAATTATGTGTGATATTAATAACTAGTTAGGGTTACATACAGGTATGCACATTGCTGTTATGAGACTAAAGAAAAATATGCGGGCTAGTGAAAATGCCCCCGGGATAGTGTAGAGGTTTTTTCAGTAGCCGGCTGGCTAGTGAAGAAAAAGAGTTAAAATCGAACCCTGCATTAAAATATAAAATTACAAATAGCTTGTTTAGTTGTTGAGAGAACAGGTTGCATCTTCAGCTCTGATTGAAAGAGTAAAGAAGGGAATAAAAACTAACCAAATTGTAAAATGTCCCTGTCTTTCTCAAAGCTGACAAGTCCGGAACTGTGCGACGGAATATGAGAAGCATGTGAGGATTTTACTATAAAGCAATATAGATATAACCATGGATATGACATTAATCAACTATATGGCTTTATATCTAATTTACAATCCAACTATAATTATGAAGGAATGAACCCACAACGGCATGTGAATGCATATGTGATTCACCCTAAAGGGGCTCACTATAAACATTAGGCATTTCTTTACATCAAACTATGTGATTATGTAACCCCAAAGCATACTGCAACAAGTAAATTGTCAACCGTGTTTAACACAAAGAAATCTACAAAAAATTTCAATTGACATGCACCACCTGTTATACATATAATTGGAGGAGTTGATCCATTGGTATTCAGCTAAAAGACATATCTTGCATTCAATAGGAGCTTCAAGAACATGAACAACACAAAGCTGAGGCCCAGGGTAACCTAGCTAGGTTGCGTGCCTCCATTGAGAAAACGCAACAATCACTGATGCACATCACAGTAGAACTCGGGACCAAGCAGGAAGCATTGCACCAGCTGAACAGGGATGTAGTAGAGCACCACCAAGAGGCTGAGAGTAGCCAGCAACATGTGGAGAGAGTGCAAGCTGATGTTGAACAGGAAGAGAACAGATTGTCAAGAGTAAGATTACTTTTTCAATTTGGAGTCATAGGTTTATTTGAGCCATTGCAATAAGGAAATAAAAGTGTGAGGACCCAGTCTTCACTGCGTGATAATGACGTGGTTGGGGGAAGGCTGCTGTTAATGGACCGAGCCGAACCCATCAATAAATACATGTACCTTTTAGATGAAATAAATTGTTCAAATGGTCTGAATTTATGATTTTTCTTTCGACGATATTTCCAGACAATTTGTGTTCATGTTCAGGGGCCATATTTTAGCTTCAGCACTATGCTCGGACCCTGTTTCTTCAATGTGCATTATTATTATCACTTGAGCTCAGGTCGGATGACATCTTCATTGCATATACAACTGACGTCCAGGGTATGAACTTCTGCTGCCAAAGTGAATAAAATTACCACTTTTTAAAATATTTTTACCTGACAGAGGAAGCTGAAATTTAGTTTACTTATAAACCTTGTGCCCAGAATTACAACAATGTTCAGTTAAAAAAATGTTAATATATCCATGGGCACCATGTTCACAGAAAATAAGTTGCAGATTCACGCTTTTTTTCAAACATCCTCATTTACACGAATATGTTGTGTGCAGGCATGGTTCTACAGGGGGCTAAGGCCCCAAAACTGTTGTCTAGTCCCCCCCTCCCCCCCAAAAAAATTACATTAAAAAAATGGCAGTAGGAAATGTTAGGTGACGTCACATGCGAATGTTCCCTGCCCCTAAATAGACTAAATAGAAGGGGCCATTTGTACACTGTTAGGTAATATAATGTGCACGAATGTATGATTTTATCAGCGCTCCCCAATGAAAATATAGAATGAGCCCCCCCCCCCCCCCGCCCCCCTATTGGTTTTCAGAGGCCTAAGTGTCCGGAGAAAAAAGTGATGTACATTTCAGCATGCCTGTCTGCCAAAATTTCTGGATCCACCCCTGTTAGGCCTCCCCAGGTCCCCCTAAAATATAGGCTCTATAGAACTGCACCTGGTTGTACGAATTATGCCTGTGTATGCACGCCCCACATAGCAACTGTGTTTCATATGCATTCGTATGTTACAAGATACCGTAGGATTGTTGTATATTTGACTTACATGATGCTGGATCAGTGCTGGTTCAGGGGTATTTATTAATGCGTAATAAACTGTACACTTTTAGACTATTTGGTACCTAGCCAATGATGAAACATTCAGTTCGGATGTCTCTCCTTCAATTTTAGAATCATCAGGCAATTTATTTCTCAAAAAGTTAACAAAACTTGTCAAGTTGCATGCAGTCTTTTTGGTAATAAATTCATAAATGTACTCAATTTCCAGAAGGAATTGAAAACCATTGCTCAACCATGTTGAGACTTCTTAGGGGCCGGTATTCTTTGCGTACGCGAGTACCAATTGCCTCATTCCGGGAAAAACCTCTCCTTTATGATACGGGTCGTGACTTTCCCATCAGTATCCAGTAGCTCATGTATGACTGCGATGCGAATTCCTACTTCCCTCAGTCTGGGTTCCGACCTCCTTGACCAGTGGGCCCTCAGGCTGGGCCGGACATGCAGGTGCCTGTGATGGCAACGGCATTTCCATGCTCCGTCGCATCCGGGGTGGTGACAGGGGCCGCAGTATAGCTCGCCGTTCTTCACTCCCTGCGTTGAGGCTTATGGCATCCAAACCCCTCCCTGGTGTGCGGGGACGCTCCGGGGTACAAGGCTGCTCTGAGGGCTGGCATGGACACTGGTCTTCCTCGTGGCTCCTCCAGTGCCTGTCGAGATCGTGCTTCCGGAGGAATGAGAGGCTGCAATGGGCATGCGGGCATCTCAGTCGGTTCCTCTCTCACTGCCCATGCTGCTCGTCCTGGTGTCTCTTAAGGTTGGATTGGGAGCTGCAGTCAGTTGAACATTCCGGACACTGGTAATGCCTGCTGGGGGTCTTTCTCTGAAGGGGTGACTGGCTTCTGCTGCGGGGTACTCTTGGCCTGCAGTACCAATCACAAAAGGAAATAGTTACAATTATATACACCAATCACCATATCTTTCAGGGGGTTTGCGTTTTCGCCCCTGACGTGGACAAGTAGTGTTTGACTCAGGGGAATCCGTTGGTGGTTATGCGTCCACCTGAGGCTCAACTTCATCAGACTCCTGCTCAACATGATCATCCGCCCAGTCCTCCCCTGGAGTTTCTGCAGAGGGGTTACTCTCCGCAATTGGTCTATCTGGAGTGGGGCTGTTCTCGCCATCCGGGCTTAGGCAGAAGCGTACCTTCCCATCCTTTTCTCCGCACCAGAACGATTGGAGACACCCACGGCCCTGTGGCTGGCTTGATGACGCCTCAATTAAGCATTGACTGAATTTCCGCTTCAGCAACTTCCCTCTGATGAAGTGGCAGGCGCCTGGGCCGCTGTTTTATTAGAGCCACATCCCTGTCTCTATCCTGTACTTCACTAACTCCGTCCTCCCAATGTCTCCTTCCCCTGAAGAATATTGGCCTTGATACTTGATGAGTAGCTCCTTTAGTTGATTACTTTCCTGATTATTAAGGTGTCCGGTTGACCTCTCATACAAATCTTGTAAGTGATTGGGCACAGCAAGGTCCTCTGTATCCCCTTTCTCTTCCGTTGCCGCCCGCACTGTCTCTGTTTCCACGTCAGGAGGGGGGTCAGACATAAGCTCGGGGCCTACTGAATCCACCGCATAGAGCATTGCTGCTGTTGTTCCTTGGTAAAGGGTGACATGATCATCTTTAAGATTTATGAGGCGCAAGGGGACTACACTGGAACCAGTTCTGACTACTGAAGGTGCTACCAGGCAGTGGCGTCGCCAAGGGGGGGCCAGGGGGGGCACGTGCCCCCCCTGGAAAACCTAGTGCCCCCCCGAGTGCCCCCCCATCTGAGATTTGGGTTGGTAAAAAAATATATATATAATATATATATTTTGTTATATTCAACTCCCATCATCTGAGTTGGTTTTTCATAAGGACAAAGAAGCACAGTAATTCGTATTTTCTTCGAATGAGCTGCAAATGTGGCACCATTTTGCATCTTGCCATCCTCCGTATGCGAAAATTTTCCAAAGGGGAGGGGGGGCACCCCCTAGGGGGCCCCTCCCCTTAGACCCCTCCCCCAGGACGGCGATCCGTAGCCACTTAAGTGCCCCCCATCAAATGCTGGTGCCCCCCCTGTGCCCCCCCAGACTGAAAAGTCTGGTGACGCCACTGCTACCAGGATACGGTTTTTCTCTGTCATCGTGATTGTGGGCTTTATCAGTCCACATGGTACCATCATATCACCACCTTCCAGACTCCCTTGAACAAGCATTTCCATCCTCGGAGGAACAACAACAGTTTCAACTACTGTCACTCTACAGCTCTGTTGTCTCTCCGCTGTCTCCCAAAGAGGCAGCGCCATCCCTCCCCAATCGAGGCATCTATTAGTGACATCGATCACACATCGCTCATTCCGCAGGAAGTCCAACCCAAGTAATACATCGTTTCCTATTGAAGCTACAATAAACCGATGTTGAACTTTCACTCCAGCTAGCTGCAACTCCGCAACTACCTCCCCTCTTACAGCTAATGCCTTACTGTCTGCCAGCTGAACCTTAATATCGGTGCACATTACCAACTCTTGGTCTTCCTTGGACCACTGTTTAGTTATCCTCTCAGACAGCAAAGACACTGTCGCCCCAGTATCTACCAGTACATCACAATGTACTCCATTGATGAATGCATCTAGGTGCAATCCTTCACCAACCACAACAGCAACTTTCTCTCTTGTGACATCTTTTATGGGCCCCCCTTCTACCGCTGTCCCTCGGCCCTCGGGCACAGCTCCTAACAGTTTCCCTGACCTTGTTGTGCGTTATTTATTTCTGCCGACTGTTGACTACCTTCCCCATCAGTCCCAACCAACTCTGGACAGTTTGGCTTGATGTGCCCCCACTGTTTGCAGTAGTAACACTGTGGGCCTTTCTTGTTGAATTTTTCTTAGAATTCACTTGCTTCTCAAGTCTGTGCATCTTATCCAAGATCTGCGAGAGCTGCTGTTGTATTCTGGACATCCCTGAGCTGTTCTGCAAAGTTGGACTCTGTACTACGGCTACATCAACTGTTGCACTCCTGAGTTTCTTTATTTCGGAAGTGCGACGCTATTTCTCTGCTTTGTATAAGGCCTTTAACTCCACAGCTGCGGCTACTGCCTCATCAAGGGTCGTTGTGCGCATCTGAATCACCCTTGTCCTTATTTCTCCCTCAGACAGAGCATCCAAAAAATGGTCCCGCCCCATTCTATCCCTACTGTCAGCTGGCAAATCGTGGTATACTTTATCGACAAGTTGCCGTGTATCGTCTGCGAGCTCACTGAGACTCTCGGATGGTTTCTGCCTACGATTTCTGAGCTGGGCGCGATGAAGTTCTTTCCTACCCGTTGGGTCGAACCGGGCCTGCATTGACTTGACTAGCTTTCTGTAGTCCTTTGCTTCGTTCTGGAGACTTCCCAATACTAGTTGAGCAGAACCGGTGAGTAAAACGGCCAGATATTGGCATTTAGTCTCATCATCCCTGCCATTGATACCAGTGCACAGCTCGAAGTGTTTCATATAGGACTCCCACGGCCCTTTTCCATCATAGTGGTAAGGCTTTATCAGTGGTCGCTGATTCCCTCTGTTCAATTGTCCCGACGTCGTCTCCTTTGCTTCATTGATTGGAACAGTCTTCTTCTTGACAGCCCCATCATGGTCAAGAACTCGCTTCGTTGGTACTGGCCTATTGGGAATTACAACCGGAGTTTGTACCCTCGAGTTTCCATCCATACTCTCTTCTTCTTGCCCTTGAAGATTCTTGCTCACTTTTTGGCTGTTGATATTCCGATTGTCATTCACCTGTAGCTGAAGTGTACCGCTGGGGGCGTGTTCGGATTCTTCACCTTCTCTCTCTATTTTGGAAGAGACAGGGATGGGGTTAGACGTTATGTCGATCGGCCTACACAGCAAGCTTGTACGCATCCATCCCCCAGACTCG